TGAGTACCCTAAACCCTAAACCCTAAACCCTAAACCCTAAACCCTAAACCCTAAACCCTAAACCCTAAACCCTAAACCGTGGCTCTGAACGGGGAACCCAGGATGGCAGACCTTCGGCCTGATGTTGGCAAGAAGCTTGGGCTTATCATTCATTCTGGTTTGGGATGTTCCCCCATTTTCTAACAATCCGAAATAGGGATCCTAGTAAGGACTGCTAGAAGAAGGGGGGACATTCCGAATGATAGTGCTTAGGGTTTAGGGTCTAGGGTTTAGGTTGAGGGTTTAGGGTTTAGGGTTTGGGGTTTAGGGAAGAGGGGTTATAAACCGCGTGAACCTTACATTCTAGAACTCTATGCTCAAAACCCTTAAACTGCCCAGAGAACCTGAACCTTACTTGGCCCCGGTCAGCCCTAAACCCTAAACCCTAAAACCCTAACCCTAAACCCTAAACCCTGAATCCTACACCCTAAACCCTAAACCCTAAACCCTAAACCCTAAACCCTAAACCGCCGGGCCTTCAATTTCTACAGGCTTCCTGGCGACTTGAATTGGACAAGGTGAACCGATGCTGCAGTCTCTTGAGCCACGAGGCCACGGGGGTGCTGTGCTCAGCACACCATTTGCTAGTTGCAGTTTCGTGTTTAGGATTTGGGGCTTAGGGTTTAGGGTTTGGGGTTTGGGGTTGGGGCTAGGGCTTGGGGTTTAGGATTTAGGGCTTGGGATTTAGGTTCTAGGGGTCGGGGTTCGGGGGAAACGATGGAATCCAGCATGACTGACGGGCTCTCAACCCAAACCCGTCTAAAGCACCCTTGCATCCAACCCACGCCCTAAGCCATCTAAGCCCTGCATGCGAACGGTCGGGCAAGATTTCCAAGTATTCAACTCAGGCACCCCACCGTGCACTTGAAGGTCAATCAGAAATAAGGAGAGTGATAAGAAAGGTAGCCTCTATGATAGCCGTCGCTAGGGCACGTAGAACCCTACTTACCTCAACCTGAAGCTCATACATGGGCTCTTGAACATCGGGCGCCTCAACTTCAAGCAAGCCCGAACTCGGCGGCTTCGGGGTGTGTAGGGCTTCGGGAAGTTGATGGGTTTAGGGTTTAGGGTTTAGGGTTTAGGGTTTAGGGTTTCGGGTTTCGGATTTAGGGTTTAGGGTTTAGGAGTTACCGGTTCTTGCCAACAATCACACAAACACGCACCCTGAGGCTGCTGCGTGGTGAAGGGCCGCGAAAGAGGAGGAGCCATCCGTGTCAAACACCTCCGTGCCGAGCGTAGTCATTTGTAATTCATGGTGCAAGCATTCAGGGCTTGGGGATGTTTAGGGTCCAGGGCTTGGGGTCCCTTACTGCTTGCCTTACCGGCTCTTGGTCCTAGTCAGCGAGTTCAGAAATTAAGAGTCTAGGATTTCCTCTAAGGAACAAGAGACTACCTTAAACTTCCTCTGCTCAGAACTGAGGGACAGTTTCCAGGGCTGCCGCCCTCATAATTCCAAGAGCAGCTCAGGGAGTTCAAGGGCTCAGGCGCCCGACCCCGCGACCCTCCGCAGCTAAGCTATTGGAGGTTTGATGGGGGTTTGGGGGTTTAAGGTAACCCTAAACAAACCCGAAAACCCTAATCCCCCCATCTCCTCGCCGGCTTGATGTTCGGACTTAGGGGGCTTCGTGCTCCCCAAAAGCCTCGTAGGCCTGAACTTACTGGTTCTTAGAAAGGAAATGCTACCCCCATGCCCCCTCCCCTCCATTCCTCCCCCCCCTCCCACCTCCTGGGCGGCACCGAAGGCCGTGTCAGGGCCACGACGATGGGGACTGTCGCGCCGACCCTTTTCACCCAATCTGGCGGGCATCATCAGGGCCTCGTTGTCCCGTTTTGCCGCGTCTTCTGCCCTTCCGGGGAGGCCCGGGACGGCCAGCATCAGAGCAAATTTGGGCGCGCGAGGGTGCTGATTTGGGCCCCCGCGGGCAAACAGCACCCAGCGCCGACTCAATTCATCTGCAAACAATTTCGGGGAGCTGCCGCTGATTCGCCGCCAGGCATGCTCGATAAGTTTGAACGAGGTACCCAAAACCCTAATCCCTACACCTAGTAGCACACCGGATCTGTAATTTACGCAGCGGAGAGAATGTTGAGGTCGGAGGTGCGCAGCGCAGTATCGCAGGAGCTTGCATGGCCCCACCCTAGGGTTGACGCCCAAACCCTCCCTCATCTCTAAACCCAAAACATTCCTTAAGACCCCAAAAGCCCCTGGCAAGTGCCCTGAGGCCCGCTCGATGCTCTGGCCGATGAGGTTCAGGTAGAAGGATAAATTGTTGGCCTGGCGGGTCTAGGGTTTAGGGGACAGGGTCCAGGGCCTAGGGTACAGGGTTTAGGGGTTGGGGTTTAGGGTTTAGGGTTTAGGGTTTAGGGTTTAGGGTTTAGGGTTTAGGGTCTAGGGTTTAGGGTTTAGGGTTTAGGGTTTGGGGTTTCGGGTTTCGGGTTTAGGGTTTAGGGTTTAGGGCTTAGTGTTGAGGGTTTAGGGTTTAGGGTTTAGGGTTTAGGGTTTAGGGCTTAGGGCTTAGGGTTTAGGGTTTAGGGTTTAGGGTTTGGGTTTAGGGTTTTAGGGTTTAGGGTTTAGGGTTTAGGGGTTTAGGGGTTTAGGGTTCAGGGTTCAGGCTTCAGGGTTCAGGGTTCAGGGTTCAGGGTTCAGGGTTCAGGGTTCAGGGTTTAGGGTTTCGGGTTTAGCGCCTGAAGCTTTCAAGAGAGCCGCCGGCGTGGGCTGCAGTATTTAGGGTGTAGAGACTTCTATGTGGTCAGGCACTTGAAGGCTGTGGAGAAGCTTCCTGGGACCCTCTGAAGAATTTTCCTACATATGGTCCTCCTAAGCCCCACAAGGGAAAAACAAAATGTCCCAAGGGCCTACCTACTGTATCTAGGGTACCCAAGAAGGGGACAGTTCCCGTAGAACTTCTCTACTAAGCCCTAAGCCCAAAGCCCTAACCCCTAAGCCCTAAACCCCAAACCCTAAACCCTAAACCCTAAACCCTAAACCCTAAACCCTAACTTAAACCAAAAACCCTACAAGATTTCTCACAGAATCTCCGACTGCGCCTCCCTGGCTTGCGAGCCACCGATGCCGAAGGGCCGAGACTCGGGCGTCCTGTCTTGAGGGTTTAGGGTTTAGGGTTTTAGGGTTTAGGGTTTAGGGTTTAGGGTTTAGTGTTTATGGTTTAGGGTTTACGGTTTAGTATGGCCATCAAACACAGCTGGAGGTTTCCGAACAAAGCGGTACCCTTTTTGGGGACCCTTAGGGGATTCTATTCTATTTGGGCTATAAAAAGGGTACCCCCATTTTGGGAAATTGAAATACCCATCTTACAACCGCGACTTTAACCTTTAATCTCACTGTTCTTCAAGCGGGACAAGATCGTGGAAGCCAACGTTGGCTTGGCGGGGGGATAGGGGAGAGGGGGGGAGGGGGGGGGGAGAACCTAGAAAAGCGCACAGGCAGATGTTTAGCAAGTTTGTTCGGTCCCCAATCGATTGCCTCAAATTTAAGAAAAAATGAGGGGCACATTTTCTTACACTTAAGAAGACGAGGGGCTCATTCTCTTAAATTTCAGAGAAGATGAGGGGCGATGGGCCGGCCTCCTGGAATTGGCAGGGTTTGGCGGAGGGGGGGTTTCCGAAAATAGGGGTGCCCTTTTTGGGGGTCCTTGAAGGGGGGCCCCTTAATGGGATTCTATTCTAGTTGGGGTATTAAAGGGGTACCCCTAGATTGGGAAAATATACCCAAATGAATCTCGGAAAATAATTTTGGGGACTGCTGGGAGGGTTTGGGCAGGGTCGTCGGAGCCATCTTCATGCCTAAAAGGAATCTAAGAAACGGAGGGGTTCATTTTCTTAGTTTCGGCTTGATTCGGGCCCTTCAAGAAGGAGCTTGTAAAGAAGAAAGTTTGGGATGTTGCCCCTTATACTAACAGCCCTCAATAGGGGTCATAATCGGGGTACTATGATCCCTATTCAGGACTGTTAGTATAAGGGGGAACATCCCAAAAGAAAACTGCTAAGAAATTCAGGGTACCCCCAAGGTGTGAGGTTTCACTTCTGGAACACATGTGCTCCTCTACTTTAAGAAATCCGAGGCACCCTCACCTGGCTTGGTCACTTTCTTATCCAGCACTGTCACTGTACCTAACTCTCAAATTCCCTACTGAGATCTAGCAAGTTTAGGGTAGGTTTGGGTTTATGAATGGCTTGGCAAGTACAAGACTCAACGCGCAGAGTCAGGCCAGCTTAATGCCTGCAGGCTTGCGATTCTCTCCGAGATACAAGTGTGCTAGGGGCTCAAGTCATGACTGGCATGAAGCTCGGGTTTGACAGCTTGCATGTGTTGGGGCATCAAAAATCCAACTTGAAGGTGCCGGGACAATGGCAGTGGGCGACCCGCTTCCCGCAAAGCAAAAGAAGACACACATCCACTTCTATCATGAGGATGGCCAACCTCAACGCCAGCAAGGCTGAGGGACTCGGTGGAACATCTCTTGGTCGGGCGTTCGAAAAAGGCATTCTGTACAGGTACCTTTAAAATTTAGAATACCAACTATAAACCCTAAACCCTACACCCTAAACGCTAAACCCTGCCCCTCGGGTCAGGACATTCAGTCAGCTATTCGATCCTACTCTTGACGCTCTGAAGTCTAGTGCCAGTCTCCACGCACACCAGCTGAAAGAGCGGTGTGATGGTCTCCTAGACCCAGGAGTAACCTAGGAATAGAAAGGGTTCCCTTTTTGGGTTAAATGGGCTTTTTTGGAGGCCTCGTCTCGATGGTCAATTTCGCAATAGGATCGAAGAGAGTTTGCGGCATGCTGATCCCTGTCAGAGGGAACGGCCACGGAAAATTTCAGGCGTCCTCTCTTTGCCGGGTCCCGGAAAGTTCTTGGGGCCCCACCTACTTATACACTTGAGGAGAGGACGCCTTCAAGCCTAAACCCTAAATGGCGACTCACGCCCCAAGACGGGATCACGCGGAGGCCGTCAGAGCATCGAGGACGGTCATCACCTGGCCATTGACGGGCCTAAACCCTAAACCCTAAGCCCTAAACCCCAAACCCTAAACCCCAAACCCCAAACCCTAAACCCTGAAGGGGGCGGGCGGGGGGGGGGTTTGAGGGGTGAGGATGTAGGCTTAGGAGGTACCTTCGCCCCTCTCTCAGACTTGTCCAAGGCTTGTGATGGTCTTCAAGAGCCCATGCTCCCAAGTCCTTCCTCGTCTGTTTCAAAGTATATTCCTAAACCCGAAACCCTAAACCCCTTCGAGTTCGGGATGCCAAAAAGAGCCCGTAGCTTAGAGCACTCCCATTTGAATTGCCTCGAGTGTTAGGACTTCACCATACTAGTTACTAACAAGACAAAATAAAAGCACAGTACAAAGAATACACATGTAAAACAAATACATTGTGAAAAAGTAATAGTGCAACAAACATACAAGCGTAAAAGCACTAATACTTATACTTGCTTATACTGGTACTACTACTAATACGGATACTGATACGAATACTAATGCTAGTACTGATACTAAAACTAGTGCAAAGAATACAAATGCCAATACGAATGAGAATACAAGTACGAATACTGGTACTACTGCGGATGCTGATACATATACTTTTTACGATACTGATAACAATATTCGTGATACTGAGAACCTGTATAAAATCAAAGAACATGCCTGAAGATACCAAAACAGAGCAGCAAACACGAATTAGATCAAGAAGTATATTAATTACTTCGAGTATGTGCATCTTGGTAACCCAGCAACCATATTACAACAAGGGCACCCTCTTTTGGGCTGGTTATTTTATAAGGGAACCCATAACAAAAAAAAAACAGTAAAGGGTACCGCTGGGCTACCAAGATGTGCATTAAATACCGGCAATATGTAAGGCAATGATGACCCTGGGAGCCGGGCCGACGGAGAAGCAGCGAGACTAAGTTTCTGGCGTGGAATGGCTCCGCTTGCGGAACTTCAGGGGTTTGGGGTGCTGCCTCAGCTTGTAACGAGGACTTTGTTAACAGGCTGCGGGCCGGGATTCCTAAACATCCTAAACCCTAAGCCCCCTAACCCCGGGACTCCTAAGCCCGAGGCACTTAGGACCATCCCGACGCCTGCTCATGACCAATCTTCAGAAGGAAAGAGCTCTTGCGGCCTCGGCTGCTGGCAGGAGTGGGTCCTTCGGGTTTAGGGTTCGGGTCTTGGAAATCTCCCTGACTCTGACCCTTTGAGGTTGCCCTAAGGTTCATGAAGGCCCCCAAAAACCAGCAGGAGCCCCAACGCGCGTGAGTCTACGAAGCAGACAGAGCCTTCATCGGAACGTGTCGTGCGCGTAGCCCATTGGAGCAGAGAGCGCTGGTTGAAGGGCAATGTTTACGCTAAGAGGGGAAGCTCGGTATGGCAAAGCAAACAATCCAGATCCCGAGCTCGAAAGTCACTGCAAATCCTGAACTGCCCACGACAGCATGCAGATCACACCCGATACCTAAAAGCCTTAACCTGCAACCCGGAAGCAGCAAATCGAAATTGAGGCAACCCCCCGGCCCACCCAACGAACAAGTGTCTCCGAGACTGGGGCCAGTTTAATTGGAGTGGGTTGCGGGCTTAGGATCTATGATTTACATATGGTGGCCCTAAAAACCTAAAACTTACATGCTATTTTAAACCCTGAAATTTAAAACCTAAAACCCAACCCTAAGCCCCTGTATAATAAAAGCATACAAGGACTCGAATTGATTCCAGGAGTCGAAACCCGGAGAGGCCGAAGCCAGGAGGGAGAAGAGGGAGACGAGAGCAAGGAGAACCCTAAAACCCTAAAACCCTAAAACCCTAAAACCCTAAACCCTAAACCCTAAACCCTAAACCCTAAACCCTAAACCCTAAACCCTAAACCCTAAACCTAAACCCTAAACGCGAGGGTTCAGAGATAGGGTCTAAACCCTCAACCCCCCCCCCCCCAAATCCCACAGCCGCCCGAGCGCCGTAGGACTTCGATCCGAGGATGAAGAAGCCTGGCTCCTGGGTTTAGGGGTTTGGGGTTAGCGGATTTAGGGGATTTAGGGGGTTTAGGGGGTTTCGGGGGTTTAGGGGGTTTGGGGGGTTTGGGGGGGGGGGGGGGTTTGCGGGGGGTTGAGGGGGGGTTTAGGGGGGGTTTAGGGGGTTGAGGGGGTTGAGGGGGTTTAGGGGGTTCAGGGGTTTAGGGGTTGAGGGGGTTTAGGGGGTTTAGGGGGTTTAGGGGATTTAGGGGGTTTTAGGAGGGGGTTTAGGAGGTGAGGGTTTAGTGGCTTCAGACGGTTAGGGTTTGTTGCTTTGGGGTTTCGGGGGCTTGGGGTTGGGGTGCCGTGCTAATGGGCCAGGCCTTGGAGTTTGGGGTTCAAAGTTCATAGCCCTGGAGCTGAAAAAAGTCAAAAAATGCCTAAAGTCCCAAGCCCAAAAAACCGAAACCCTTGAACCCTTAAACTCGTAAACCCGAAAACCCTAAACTCCCTAAACCTTAGCCCTAAAGCCCTTAGAGCCTTGCAGGAAGATTTGGGAGGTGCCACCTTTCCCCATGGTGAAAAGTCCTAGGGTTCAGGGCTTTCAGGGCTTGGGGCTTGGGGCTTAGGGCGAAGGGCTTAGGGTTTAAGTTTAGGGGTTTAGGGGTTTAGGGCTCAGTGCTTAGGGCTTTAGGAGTTCAGGGCTTTGTCAACGGTAGCGCTCAGACTCTAGGACTGAAGGACTCAGAGTTTAGGCTCCAACTTTCCACGCCATGTGCACCTTAAAATCAAAATCGACACAAGCCCCAAACCCCTAAATCCTAAAACCTAAACCCCAATTCCCTAAACCATTTCCCTAAAACCCCTAAATCCTAAAACCTGCCTGAACCTAAACCCCAAAACCCTAAACCATTTCCCTAAAACCCCTAAATCCTAAGCCGTAGACACTCATGAGTGAAGTCCAGGTCACTGGGTTCTTCAGCGCATCGGCGCCCGCGGCCACCTAGTGCAAACACCCTATAACCCGAGCACGGCAAGACTCAGCCCTAAGCCCTAAGTGTATGGGACCCCTGAACCCAGGTTTTGAAGAGCCAAGTATGCCCCGTTAGCAACTTTAATGAGTCCGCATCCCATGATCAAGAGCTTGCAGGTTGTAGTCAGGTGTGCGGGCAGCAGAGGGTAAATCCCTTCACCCTCGCCCTCCTTTTGTTGCCCCGAAGGCGAAACAAGCAAGAAGATCTGAACCCTAAACCTTAGAGAAAATCACAGCTCCAACTACAAATTGGGGAGGTGCCCAACGAAAGGCAGAATGGCAGAATGGTTGCAGTGCAACTTAGAGAACTGACCATACAGGCTTGAAGGCATGCCTAGTTCTAGGGTGCCCTTAATTGCTTCAAGGAGTTTATAAGGGAAGCTAACCCCTCCCCCCCAAAAAACAACAAAAAAGGAAGGAATAAGGGCATCCTAGGTTTCAAGCTTTTAAGAGGTTGGGGCTTGGGGTTCTGCGGCCTGCTTCAGACAGTCGCCCGAGCCGCCAATCAACGTTGCGGCCAGCCTTTGCTAGGGCTTAGGATTCAGGAAGCTTTTGGGGATGGCAAAGAAGGTTTGATGCCTGACGAAGAGCCAGTAGGAAAAAAAAAACGCACATCAATTACACTGAACTCGGAGGTCTAGATTTTGAATCTATTATTTTCCCCATTGGCTTAGGATGTCCGCAAAGGTCAGGGCGGTTAGGTTGGATTACACATTCAGAAGATATGAGCCACCCAGAAATACTCAAGCGTAATGTGAAACCCCATAACAACATTTGCAAAGCCCCACAACGCCCAAAAACCCAGTCCTTCTCAAACATGGCACTTGATTGGCCCATTGGAAGCGTAGCACTGATGGACCTGCAGCTCCTCAGGCCAGACGATGATTAACGGGTCACGGAGGAATTCAGACAAGTATTCCGTCGATGAACCACAATCCCGGACAAACTTAGAAACAAGCTCAACATGCAAGGGAAACAAAAACCGGAACGCAAACACAAAACACAAGACAGCGAAATTCAAACCACGAGTATTCGCAGCGGCAGCGGGATTCACAACTCCCAACACCAGAAGAAGAACCGATATACTGTAGCCAACCGTCTGATTCGATCGGGACAACGCTTCAGAATTTGTCTGTCTGAAGCTCGCCTGCTCTGTTTGTTGAGTCTGTTAACTTGTTTTCCTGGGCTGATTTCTTATGAATTCGTCCTGTGCTTGTTGACGCGCTCTTGACTCTGTGCTTTTTGATGCGCTATTGACTCGCGATACACGCAAACTAGGAGCACAACTCGAGGTTCACTCAGGCTACGCACAATGTGAACTCCAGGAAGATTGTGGGTGCCGTCCGACACTAAGTAGACTCGGGTCCTACTAAAGGTACTAAAGAAGCTTAAATTTCAGCGCTCAAAAGACCATTGAAAGCACGCAAGGTCCTCGTAGATCGAGGTGTCTGGGTGGTAGCCGACCTGGGAGACTGGAAAAGCGCGGCCCCGGCGCCACACATACCACTTCTGCAGCTCGAAGCTTTCGGCGCTGGGCAACATCAAACAAAGTATCAAGTACGAAAGAAGATTCAAGATAGAAGGCAAAAGAAGTTCCTAGCGCTGTTCCGGCTGAGGGCGCAGACGCCGTATCCTTTGAAAAATCCCCCGGAACTTTGAGAAAGGGCTGCCCCGAAATGAACGACGTTGCAAAACGATAACGAACAAATGTGATAACGTTTGCATGTTGGCATAAGGCAGGCTGGACACGATGCGGAATGCGCGCTTTGCCTCGTAGAACGAAAAGGAATAAAACGCAAAGGATACGGCCATCGGGTAATTGCATTCACCGGTGCCAGGACATGCTTGCACGCGAGATGAGGCAGCACGTAACAACGAAACACGGGAACAGGAATTCCGTGGTACTCAAATACAGTCCCTGGACGAAGGGTACCCGAGTTTAGCAAGTTTGTTTCAGTGGCTTGTTAAACTCTCCAAACATGATCCTAAATAAGATCCTCTCAAACCCCGACACAAGACCCCAGACCCTGGCCCTAAACCAATCGGGGGGGGGGGGAAGGAGGGAGGGGGGGGGGGGGGGGGGGGGCGTAGGCACTGTCAAACCGATCTCAACTCAACGTTGCGACCCCCTAACCCCTTAAACCCGACACTCTTGGGTTTGGGGTGCAGGGTTTGAGAGGCTTGTGAGCTTCAGGTCTGAGCCTCAAGATTCCGAGCCCCCCAAAACCGCTTAACCTATATGCTACTTTGGGATATTCATACTATAATCCCTATTAAGGCCAACAGCCCAATATATACTATACATCCTAAGCTTCTTGGAAGCCTGAACACTCGAGCCGGGATGGCTTTACTTTACGCCCTTGAACAAAAACCTGAACAGAGATCTTCCTATGCAACAACTCAGCCCTGAACCTCAGGGCAAAGACTAAGCAAGCGAAGTACTGTGCTCTCCTTTGTGCCATCAGAAACACTGCTTCTTGTTTGCATATTCCTTTGTGTTTTTAGGTCAACCGTGCTTTGAACAATCCGAACATCCCACCCTGCCCCTAAATTGCCAGGACATACATTCCGGTACCTTCATGGCCAGCTTGTTCAGGCAACATGTCGGCACCATTGCCCATCTGTCCCTGCCCTGCCTGTGGAGGCAACGTTCCGGTACAGCTGCCCGCCTGAGCCCTGACCTGCCTCTTAAGGCAACATTCTGGTACAATTGCCTGCCTGGGCCTCCCTGGCATGCTTCTTCATGCAGCATTCCGGTACGGTTGAATGCTTCGCGGACACGAAACTCACGACGTTGGGTCACCTCGGGACCCCGTTCGATAAGGCAGATGATTCCTATGGAATCTTTACCCAAGACACAGTTTTTTGGGTCCCGTTGCAATACGCTCTGCGGCTTAGGGTGTCGGGTGTAGGATTTTAGGATTTAGGGTGAACGGACCAGCAACGCTCGCTGTTCTTACTGTAGCGCGCTGCCGCAGTCTTTTGGAATGGGGAGTTGAGGGTGTACCCCGAATCCTTGAACCTTCAGCACTAAACATCACTAAAACATGTAAATCGAAGGTTACACTTAAGGAAATCACTGGGGGCGGGATTGAGCGTTTGGGGGGCTGGGGTTTGGTGCAGTGATAAGTCTCAGTTTTGGGGAATGAGCTTGGTCTCAACTGGCTTCATTGTCGTCGGCGTGGGTTTGAGGGCTTTGGTTTTGGGTTTTCAGGGCCCTTACAAAAGGTAAGGGGCCGTATGGAGGGACCATGTAACTACCCTTAGATATAAGCGCTAGGCCCTCTCTCTAAGCCTTAAAGCCTTCAGCCGCTCAGCCTTGAGAAGTTAGGGGTACGAGGCAGTAATTTGGGGGGTTGCTCAAAATGATGGGCCCCTTTCCCGGTACCCTACTAAACTACAAGGAAAATTCTACAACAGAGACCCAAGCAGGAACCATAACTTAGATCAGGCCTCCTTCCAACCCTATTTAAACTTAAACCTCACACCCTGAAGCCTGAGCCCTGAACCCTTCCCATCCCCCACCCTGGTGCAGGGTTTGGGGTATCCATCCCCCATTTAGGGCTCCTGCTCTGAGACGTTGTGTGCTTAGGGGTTTGAGGGCTGCCAGGGGCCAGGCGCAGCACACCACTTCATCCACGCACTCCTTGAGATTTAGGGTTCGGGGTTTATCGGGTTTTAGGCGGCTTTCCCTGGGCTGCGGGTTGTTTAGGGTTTATGGCTTAGGGTTAGCTGTCATTCTGCAAATCTCCTGAGATCAAATGCTTAGATATCTACCCTAAACCCTAAACCCTAAACCCTAAACCCTAAACCCTAAACCCTAAACCCTAAACCCTAAACCCTAAACCCTAAACCCCAGTGAGTAGTGGGTACTCTCAGCTGAGTCTCTAGACCCTAGGCGTTTGTCCCTGGTGGTTTAGGGCTTAGGGGTTTTGAGGTTTAAGCCAAAGCTTAGGCTTCAGGGTGGAGAGGGGTTTAGGGGTTTAGGGGTTTAGGGGTTTAGGGGTTTAGGGGTTTAGGGGTTTAGGGGTTTAGGGGTTTAGGGGTTTAGGGGTTTAGGGGTTTAGGGGTTTAGGGGTTTAGGGGTTTAGGGGTTTAAGGGGTTTAAGGGGTTTAAGGGGTTTAAGGGGTTTAAGGGGTTTGGGGTTTAGGGGTTTAGGGGTTTAGGGGTTTAGGGGGGTTTAGGGGTTTAGGGTTTAGGGGGTTTAGGGGTTTAGGGGTTAGGGGTTTAGGGGTTTAGGGGTTTAGGGGTTTAGGGTTTTGGGTTTGGGGTTTGGGGTTTAGGGTCTATGAGATTAAAGTGATCAAAGCCCCACGCCCTGCACATGAAGCACCAAACCGTAACCCTCCCCCCCCCCCCCCCCCCCCGAAAACCCGAACTCTCAATGATCCACACCCTACTCAGCAGTGCGTTAAACCCTTCGAAAAGTGGAGGTTCCCTTGTAAAGGAAGGGAAATTGAAAATTATCCCAAAGCACAAGCTGGACCTATCTTCAGCCAACGGCCCAAATCTGGTTTGGCCTCCTGCGCCTTTGTAGCTGGGACCTCAAACCTAAACCTTGACCCCTTAGACTTAGTTGCTGAGTTCAGAAGCCCCAAAAAAGGGCACACTTCAGTTCTATAGGGGATGATAGTATCCCAAAAAGTGTAAAGAGTACTCACTCAGCTACTAAGTAGAAGCCCCAATAACTCCGACCATCCGACTCCCCTTCCATTGGCTCCCAATACCAAGCTCCCAGAGCCTTCACCTTAAACCCTCAACCCTTGACCGTAAGCCCTAAACCCTGAACCCTAAACCCTAACCCTAAACCCTAAACCCTAAACCCTACACCCTAAACTCCTAAACCCGAAACCCTAAACTCCTAAACTCCTAAACTCCTAAACTCCTAAACTCCTAAACTCCTAAACTCCTAAACTCCTAAACTCCTAAACTCCTAAACTCCTAAACTCCTAAACTCCTAAACTCCTAAACTCCTAAACTCCTAAAGCTGGCAGCTCCTGCTGTGCCCCGGCGGGTGTGCGGAGCGTCACGAGGAGGCGGCCGTCTGCCTTGCAACTGGGGGTTCTTGGTTTAGGGTTTAGGGTTTAGGGTTTAGGGTTTAGGGTTTAGGGTTTAGGGTTTAGGGTTTAGGGTTTAGGGTTTAGGGTTTAGGGTTTAGGGTTTAGGGTTAGGGTTTAGGGTTTAGGGTTTAGGGTTTAGGGTTTAGGGTTTAGGGTTTAGGGTTTAGGGTTTAGGGTTTAGGGTTTAGGGTTTAGGGTTTAGGGTCTGAGGGTCTGAGGGTCTGAGGGTCTGAGGGTCTTAGGGTCTTGGGGCTTTCGGGCTTCTAAGGATGTTTCGGGCCTTAGGGGTTCTCAGGGTTGTTTAGGGTTTTTTAGGGGCTCAGGGCTGTTTAGGGTCGGGTCTTAGGATTTTGGAGTTTTTAGGGTTCTTGGTGTGCTTTAGATTTTTTCAGTCCTAGGGTTTTAGGGCAGGCGTTGGGGCTAATTGCTTTTTTGGGGGATGTAGGGCTTAGGCTTTGAACCAGCTAGGTCTTTTTTGCACATGGCAAGAAGCCTCCAGCGCTGCAACTTAAGCTTAGGGCTTAGAGCTTTAGGGTTTTACCCTGGAATCATGCTGGAAGCCCCTGAGTGCCAGCCCCCCAAGCCGAACACCCGCTATACCCACTTATGGGGTTTAGACGGCTTAGAGCCTGCAAGCGCTAAACCCTGCACCTCTTAGGGGCAAAGCCTTAGATCCTAAACATCTGAGGGGCACACCCCTCCACCTTCAAGTGGTAAAACCCGAAACCCTAAACCTGTTTAGGGGTAAAGCCCTAAACCCTAACCCCCGATTCCCTAAAGCCCAAACGGCACATGAACTCCGAGGCCAAGCTTCGCTTTAGGGTTTAGGGTTTAGGGTTTAGGTTTAGGGTTTAGGGTTTAGGGTTTAGGGTTCAGGGTTCAGGGTTCAGGGTTCAGGGTTTAGGGTTTAGGGTTTAGGGTTTAGGGTTTAGGGTTTAGGGTAAAGGGTAAAGGGTAAAGGGTAAAGGGTAACTGCAAAAGTTGCAGATGTCGTTAGAAGATCGGTAGTGATCAGAAGACTGAAAATAAGAACAAGAACAACGGGTAAGTACTAAGAATGATTTTGACATTCTTAGGAATAAGAGTAGGCTTCAGAATAATAGTAAGAAGGAATAAGAATCTTAAGAATAATAATAGGAATAAGAAGAAGAACCCTACAGGAATAAGAAGAAGAACCCTAAACCCTAAACCCTAAACCCTAAGCCCCTTCCCTCGCAGCCCAACAGTAGGGGGCCTCCTTGAGCGCCTCCACAGCAGCCCCGCCTTGCATGACTTAGGCTCGGTTGCCCAGGAACCTAAGGATGATTTAAAAAAAGGGTGCCCTTATTTGTTTAAAGGAGTTTATATGGGAACCTAACCCCCCCCCCCCCCCCAAACCCTAAAAATGAGAGAGAGAGAGAGAGAGAGAAAACAAAGGGAATAGGGGCATTACTGGGCATCCGAGTAGGGTTTACGCAGGGATTAGGAATGATTAGGGTTTGGGCGTCAAGTGCGGATCTTTGATTATTCGGGATTTCGGGGGGTGTTCGGGTTTGCTCAAGGGATTCGCGGCTAGGCTAGGGTTAGAGGTTCAGGGTTTAGAGTTGAGGGTCAAGGGGTTCTCAACGGGTTTTTGAGCCAAGAGCTGTCTTATCAGCGAGCTTTTGTCTAGGATTTAGGCGCACAGGGGTATTCAGGCTTTGGGGAGTGGGATGGGGTTGGAGGTTTGGGGCGCAGGGCTACGGATAGATACATCGGGAAAGGCAAACTGGGCCGTTGTGGGAACCCCTCCTTCTGAACTGCCACGACTGCAACTTTACAGCACCGGTCCGAAACCCGTCTTGATCCTCAGACCTTCACGCCTTTTGGGGGGCTTCGGTTAACTCGGCTAAAAAATATTTCTAGATAAGATCCTCTTAAGGATTGTATGCACTAGGCCTACCTAGTCAAGGTTGCACTACATCCTACATAGACGCATAGGGGCTGATTCCTGCAACCGCAAACACTTGACCTCGGACCTTACACTCAAGCCCACCACCGTGCAGTAGAAGCAGTGTGCAGTGCCAGTGGCAAGATATGGTGGTGATAGCAGCGGCAGCAGTCGTACTACGGCGTAGGTATTAGCAGGCCCGCTGCGAGCCTGGTAACAATCATACAGGGCTGACCCTAAAACACCACTTAAACCCTAAACCCTAGACCCTAAACCCTAAACGCTTCAATCCCACTGCAACGCTTCGGCCCCCGGCCAATGTAGCTGATGCCGCTCACGCTGCCCTCGGACGCTGCATTGCCAAGCTCGCAGAGCGCCTTTCGGCTGGGCTTTGGTTTGAGGTTAAGGGTTAAGGGTTAAGGGTTAAGGGTTAAGGGTTCAGGGTTAAGGGTTAAGGGTTAAGGGTTCAGGGTTCAGGGTTCAGGGTTCAGGGTCAGGGTTTAGGGTTTAGGGTTTAGGGTTTAGGGTTTAGGGTTTAGGGTTTAGGGTTTAGGGTTTACAGGGCTTAGGGTTTATGGGCTTTGGAGGGCTTTGGAGGGCTTTGGCTTCGGAGTTCGGGGTTGCGAAGTTTGCAAAGGTTTTGGGATTAGGACTGAGGGAGTTAGGGGTTCTTTACTAGGATGGCCCTTCAAACCCTCTGAAAAATATTCCTAAATATGGTCCTCTTAAACCCAATAAGGGAAAATATAAAATATCCCAAGGGCCTACCTAGTTTATCATAAATGGAACTTCTCTTGATTTTCTTTTGGGGGGTTCCTGTTGCCAGATGGCCCTGTACTTTGTGGTACGGACGAGAACTTAGAGAGCTGACCATGCAATGCAGGGCCCTAGCGAAGCGACTGCAGGCCTAAGACAAGCAACGGATTGAGGCGCACAAGGCCCAGAGTGAGTTTGTCCCTGAACCCTACACCCCAAGCTCCGAAAGGTTGCGGGGTCTAGGCTTTACGGTTTAGACGGTTTAGATGACGGTTTCGAGCTTGACGGTCAGAGCTTAGGAGGGTGCATCGCCGGGTTGTGGGCTTGTGCCGGCGAGCCTTGCGCTGCGGCAGCACGTCGTCCTTTGCTGCGGTCAATCACCCAGAAAGCCCATGCACCACTAACCTAAACCTAGACCTACACCTGAGGGTTTAGGGCTTAGGGGGTTCCCTCCCTGAACCCCCAAGCCCTCAGCCCTAACTCAAGAAAGACACGTCCGGATGCGATTGCAAGCCGCATCCCATGATGGCTCACAGTTTGGGGCTGAAGGAATGACGTTTCCAGGAGGACTCGAACCGAGCGTCCAAGGCAAGATCTTTGACGGTTCGCAGAATCCGCCACTTCCAGGTTCTTTCCAGGCGAGCACACGGGCAGAACTTTTGCTATCCATGACAAGCACAAGCAGCGATCCAAGGCAGGTGAAACAACTACGTGCTATCCCTGCAGCACAGTGCAGAGTAGCAGTAGCATGCATGAACCACACTCAAGGGCCCACATTAGGGCCCGATACCTTGAACCCTAGCTGTAGAGACTGTGCCAGGGCGGAAAGCTTCTTTTGAGGGTGCACATACGGACCCATACGGACCATCCCAGGTTTAAGCTAAACCCAGAACCCTAAAACCCTAACCGTGTTGTTCTACTGGGAACTGCTGGCCCTACATCTCAGTCCAAGACAAGAGCCGCAGTCCAGAATTGGCTCAGAACTCTTGCCAAAATTCGGTCGAACTGTTGGAGTGTGTCGGAAACTTCCTGGTGCATGACATCATCGTGCAGATCAGGAACCGAGCGGCGCTCCTTCTCCAGCTGTTGGCGGTACATGCGTGTGTAGGGATGCTCAGCGCCCTCAACCTCTTCCCTGAGATCCCCGGCGCGCTGCAGAAAAGACACAGCCTTCCTGCTATTGCAGTCGATCAACATGCGGTAGAGGTTCCAGTGCGACACTGCGTACCATTTGTTGTTGATATGTTCGTACTCCTGAAAGAAACGAATGGCTGCAAGAAAGTACTCCTCTGCCGATCTTGGGTCGTTGCGCAGCTTGTGCTGGATCACGCCCATGACGCGCAACGCATTGCCTACGTCCGGGTCCTTCAACTCCCATAGTGCACAAGCAGCCTTTCCCACTGCTGAATATGCAGTGCCCAGCGCATCTGGCATGTCGGTTTCCACAATGGACGCCAAGTTTGCCAACGTGTTTGCTTTCAGCAACTGGGCTTGCGCAAACAAGGCTTTGTCAAATGAGAATTTGTCTGCCTCAAGCTGATTGTTGAGCTTCTTGATCGCCTCCTGCGCTGCTTCATAAGCTCTCCGCATGTCATGCTGCATGTCCCCCTCGATTGCCCTTGCGTGGAAGGCCTGCGCCTCCACGAGGACAAGACGCGCAGACCTCATCATCTCCCTTGGAATGAAACGAAGAACAATGTTCCATCCGCCGCGCTGAAGGTACTTCTCCAGCTGTGCTGCGGTTCGGCAGGACTCCTCCTGATCACTGGCAGTCCCAACTTCAGCGCTCTGATTGCAGCTGTCGCACCAGACTGGCATGCCCGTTGAGCAATGCAGGCACAGGAAACCTCGCTTGTCGCAGCTCAGACATTTGAACCGCTGCCTGGTCACCACTTTGCATAGAACACATCTATGAACAAGTCGAGACACCATGCATCCGCAGCTGAAGTGACAGTGTTGCTATAGCTGCTGAGCCTGCAGCGGCCGAACACAGGACTGGAATCGTACATGTAGAATCCAGAAGTTACTCTCCTCAAGCAAAGCCAAACGCAGCCAACATCATGACATCATGATGCAAACCCTGAACTCCGGCCCTAGTTGAAGTCGTGACGTGAACCAAAGCTGTATGACGATGCGATTGCTAGCGAGAAACAATCAGCATCTTGTGTTCATTGCGCCCGTACAGAAGGAGAGCACGGGGAGATTGAAAGGGCGGCATCGCCCTTGCAAATACATTGCTCTCTTGAGTCTGCACGAAATGAGGGTTTACGAACATAAGGGACCCCCAAATAGATCCCGCAAATAGTAGGATTCCCTTACAAAGACACTAATAAGGTACCCCCAATATCGTAACCTCCCCACATTTCAGTTGATTGCAATGCTCATCACAGATAAACGAGAGAAGTAGTCGGATGCCACCACAAGGGTCCTGTATGCTTCCCGAAAGCACGACGAGAGGTCTCTCTGCGGAGGGGTCATAACTTGGAGAGCTGGCGTTTAGTCTTGCCATCGGATCATGAGATTCTCTTTCGACAACCGAAAGCCTAACAGCCCCCCCAAAGAACCTTCAAGGACTTGGTTTCCCCATGTCATCCCCCCGGCTCTGTGGGGGGATGTTAGGTACCTACTTCCCTGATACCCTTTAGGGGTTTAGGTTTTTGGCTTTGGGTTTAAGGTTTAAGGTTTAGGGTTTAGGGCTTAGGGTTTAGGGTAAACCCTAAACCCTAAGCCTTAAAGCTTAAACCCTAAACCCTCAACCCTAAATCCCGAACCAACCCGAGCTTGCCGAGCGTCCGGAATAACCGAGTATGGGGAGGCACTGCTTCGCGTCACCTCGGAGCTGGAAGATATGGGGTTTAGGTTTAGGGCTTGGGGTTTACAATTTAGGGTTCAGGATTCAGTGTTTAGGGTTAATGGCTTAGGAACCTTCCTGGCGCTTTTGCCCCAAGATGCCCGAACCTGCAGCTTACGTTCAGGGTTCAGTTCTTCGGGTATAGCGCTGAGCCGGGTTGTTGCAAAAGGGATCCTGGTTCTAGAACGAACCTCCAAGCTGGATCTTGAGGTATAAGGAGGGACCCTACTACATTACCCCTGTATGTAGTCCCTATATACCTAAGTAGCCCTTAAGGTCCCTGAATGAGGTACCCTATATTATAGAATCTCTTAAAGGGTATATACAGGGCCCTAGTTCCCTCATTCCCCGCTAACCAGTAAGTTATAGGGGTCCCCCCCCCCCCTTTAAGTCCCTTGAGGATAACGACTTTTCATCCAGAGCTGCGAACACCACCTCCGTGCTTGGCTCCTCCTGGAAGGGGCAAAACATCAACCCAAACCCCAAACCCTGAACTCTAAATCCCAAACTCTGAGCCCAAAACCCCAAACCCTAAACTCTAAACCCTAAACCCTAAACCCCAAACCCTAAACCCTCAACCCTAAACCCTAAACAAATAAGGCCGGTCCTCTTAGTGATGGTCTGTTTTGTTGGGGGGCGGGGGGCCCTACGTAAGGCTACGTTGCACAATAGGAGTTAGGTGAGGAAACTGCCAGGAGACACGATCCGATCCATTCTGCTTCGGCGACAGGGCGGTGTTTGGGGTTTCAGGCTACGTCAAGGGGCCATGGGGTTGCAGCTTAAGGGGCGTTCTCCAAGCCTTTCCAGAACGCAGTCTAGCGTTGAGTCCCCAAACCCCTTTGAACTCCTATCAGCAAGCCCCCCTTTGAGACCCTCATCAGATTCATCCCTAAAGCCGGACACCCCCCGCAACCCAAATGAGAACCCACAAAAGCCTGACAGATGGGTCCTTTCTCAACTCTACGAGGTCGCGGACCGTCGTGGCGGCGCTCATTCCGGCGCCCACCACCTTCACTGAGTCAGGGCTCAGGGTTTAGGGCTTCGGGTGAGGGTTTAGGGTTTAGGGTTCGGGGCTTGAGGGGGGGAGGGGGGGTTTGGGGGATTTGAGGCTTAGGGAGAATGGAAGGTTGGGAGTTTCGGGCATTGTAGTTCAGGGTGTAAGACCTCAGGCTTCGAGAGAACAATCCTGAGAGAACAATCCTGATGGGGATACTTTAAGGCTCATGAGTTACAAGTCAGGTTCAAGATGTACAGTACCTTCATTCAAGACATAAAAGCAGCATGCGCAGTACTCTAGTTCAAGGTATGAAAACGCTTACCCTTTCACAACTGTACTTGTAAGTTCCCGTGAAACCTCAAGTTGAGTCATACACGAGCCCAAAAGTAGAGTAATACACGAGCCTAGGGTTTAGGGTTCAGGCTTCAGGGTTTAGGGTTTAGGGTTTGGGGTTTGGGGTTTGGGGTTTGGGGTTTGGGGTTTGGGGTTTGGGGTTTGGGGTTTGGGGTTTGGGGTTTGGGGTTTGGGGTTTGGGGTTTGGGGGTTGGGGTTTGGGGTTTGGGGTTTGGGGTTTGGGGTTTGGGGTTTGGGGTTTGGGGTTTGGGGTTTGGGGTTTGGGGTTTGGGGTTTGGGGTTTGGGGTTTGGGGTTTGGGGTTTGGGGTTTGGGGTTTGGGGTTTGGGGGGAAGGGGCGGAACCCAAAAAAGAAATACAAGCCGAGAGAAGTGTTGGGCCCAGGCCCCAACACTACTTTGAAGATCCCTTTTGCCCTCGAGGCCAATACTCCAGGACTACCTCTTTAACTCTACCAGCAAACCCCCAAGCATAAAACCTTAACGGAAACCCTACACCACCAAACCCTGCACTTCTTTCCACCCTGACCCCAAGAGCAACACTTCTTTCAAGGGCGAAAGCCTGCAGCCCCCAACCAGCCCCTAGCCACCACCCACCTCCTTTAAATCTGAGCTGGTTCGCCGACCCCTGCTCGAAAGAACCCCTGAACCAACGGGATCCTGACTTGGAACATGTCTGGCTGGCTAGGCTGCCCTAACCCCCTAAACCCTAAACCCTACACCCTAAACCCTACACCCTACACCCCACACCCTACATCCTAAACCCTAAACCCTTAACCTAAGAAACAGAAGGGTGCCGTTATTGGCTTGATGCAGTCTACAAGAGATCCGACACCCCAAAAGAAGGAAGGGAAGGGCATCCTGTGTCCTGTATGGAGTAAGGTGTCCGGTTGGGGGCTTAGGGCTTAGGGCTTAGGGTTTAGGGTTTAGGATTTAGGGTTTAGGGTTTAGGGTTTAGGGTTTAGGGTACCCAAAACCCTCTTAGACAGAAAGAATGACAGGCCGGGGCGGCCATGCAGCGGCGTCCCGCAAAGCGGGCGCGGCTCTGCCCTGAAATTCCGACGAGGGCTTCTGGTTTAGGGGGGTTTAGGGTTTAGGGTTTAGGGTATGGGGTTTAGGGTTTAGGGTTTAAGGTTTAAAGGTTTAGGGTTTAGGGTTTAGGGATTAGGGTTTAGGGATTAGGGTTTAGGGTTTAGGTCTATGGGTTTTAAGGTTTGGGGCTAGCTCTGGGTTTAAGGTTTTGGGTTCATGCGGGTTGGGTTGATGGTTTGGGGTCTGGAGTTTTAGGGCTTGGGTTTCGGGATGAAGGGTTTGAGGCTTCCGGACCTACTCTAAGGTTCATGGGTAGTCATCATTAGGGCTATAAGTAGATTCATCGATTGTGATATAGGTTACCCGAAACCCTAAACCCTAAACCCTAAACCCCTAAACCGTGCGTAGGACCCTACTTGGAACTACCCCCAAGAGAACCTTCAAGTAAGGCTTTAGCGGATGGGTCTGCCGGCTTCTGAGTCGAGCTTCAAGTCTCCAGGAGCATTCTCCTTACCATGGAAGTGATGCTTCATATCCGTTTATGGTAGAACTAGACCCGGGAGTAACCTAGGAATAAAAAGGGTACCCGTCTTGGCTTTATGGGGGTTTTTAAGGGAACCCAACCCTAAAAAAGGAGAAAAGGGCCTACTCCCGGTCTTAGAGAAAATGCTCCTTGTAAGGACCCACACTTGTTGGAACCCCCGTGGGCGGGTTGAACGTAGGTGGTCCCGGCTCCCTCGGCCTAATGCCCGCTGAACTGATCTAACGCCCTCCACTGCAAGGTTGAGTAGGGTTTAGTAGGGTGCAGTAGGGTTCAGTAGGTAGGGTTCAGCAGGGTTCAGCAGGGTTCAGCAGGGTTTAGCAGGGTTTTGTGGGGTTTGGGGTTTTGGGTTGGCGGTTTAGGGGAGTACTCATCAGAATAGTCGTATTTGCAGTAGTACTTTTGAACCCTGAAACCCCCTAAACCCAAGAGTAACCCTAGGCACAAAGAGGATGCCCTTTCTGGCTAACAGGGCTCAGACATGCTTAGAAGGGAACGTAAACCCCAAAAACAGGGAACAAGGCACTGCTCTGGGTGCCAGAACCCCATGCCCAAGCCCGAAAGATCCTGACCTACCGGTAAACCTCATAGACCCTGGACCTTTTAAGCTTTTAACTTGCCTAAACCCCAAACCCTAAACCCTAAACCCTAAAACCGCTGCACCCCGACATTTTAGGAGCTACGCATATGCGGAGGACAGCTGGCACCTCGGACGTCCGGAATGGTCGTCCAGAGGCGGCCAGAGGCGCGCAAGGCCTCGGGGCTCAAGTTAGGGTTTAGGGTTTAGGGTTTAGGGTTTAGGGTTTAGGGTTTAGGGTTTAGGGCTTAGGGTTTAGGGTTTAGGGTTTAGGGTTTAGGGTTCGGGTTTAGGGTTTAGGGTTTAGGGTTTAGGGTTTAGGGCTTAGGGTTTAGGGTTTAGGGTTTAGGGTTTAGGGTTTAAGTTTAAGGTTTAGGGTTTAAGGTTTAAGGTTTAGGGCTTAGGATCTCGGGTTTAGGGTTTAGGGCTTGGGTAAGCCGTCGAAGCCCTAAACCCTGTGCAGCTGAA